ATACCAGTAACAAAAAAAAAAAAAAATGAACCCAAATGTCAAGGGTTAACTGATAAAAATATACCTGTATTGTACCATACAGAAGCAAGATGTTCATAACCAAGGAAATCAGGTGTGAGAAGTAGGACTAGGATAGGAGAACTCTGTATTTTCTGCAAAGTTAAAATTGGACTGAAAACTAATGTCTATTAACCTAAAAGTTTTCTTTAATTCTGCATACCTTTTTGGATTCACTTTCAAAAGTTGATGGCAACATATCTGGGAAGAGTTTCAGGAACACTGGTATCAAGAATTCCATGAAGGGTACGATTATAAATATCATGAATGGAACCAAACGAAAGAAATCAACACAGGTTCTCAACAGCTGAAGAATTAAATGCATAAACAATATTTAATCATTTTAAGACATGCAAAAATGCCTGCCTTGGTTCTTAATATACCATAAACCCAAAACAGGTTTATAAAACAAAAAGGTGAGGTTTTTGTCTTCACCATGTCTCTGAAGTAGTATGTATGGGGTATCTTCAAGGAAATCTATGACAGTCAAAACACGGTCATCTCTGAGCTTTCATTCAAATGAGGGGTCATACTCAAGTCACAGTATGGGGTTTTTTTGGTTTTTTTTGTTTTGTTTTGTTTTTTGTACCAGGGATTAAACTCTCAAGTAACAGCATGAAGTGGTCTCACAAGGCTGCCCAGCTGGTCACAAACTCCAGGGCTCAGCTGAGCCTGCAACTTCAGTCTCCTTATCGTACCTGGGACTACAGGTACATGCCAGTGTACTTCACTTTAAACACTGTTTTGTAGGGCTGGGGATTTAGCTCTATGGTTCTCCTGCCTGCCTTGTAAGTGCCAGATCCCAAGTTCGAACCTAGCACACACACACACACACACACACATACACACACAGTTTTTTAAAAAACACATATATGGGGCTGGTATTTGGCTCAGTGGTTCTGCTGCCTGCCTCAAAAGCACAAGGGCCTGGTACAAAAAAAAAAAACAAGTGCTTCTGTTGAAAAAAAGAAACCACATATATGCTTCATATATTAACAACTTTGTTTTTCTGATGCACATTAAACCTGAAGCCTCTCAATTCCTTAGAGATTAAAAAATATAATTGCTGGGTATGATGGTGCATGCCTATAATCCCAGCACTCAAGAGGCTGAGGCAGGAGGATTGCTACAAGATCAAGACCAGTACGGGCTACATAGTGAGTTCAAGCCCAGCTTGGACTACATAGAAAGACCTTGTCTAAGAATTTAAAAATATATATATACTTTATATGTAAATATGTATGTATAATGATATATTTATAATTATTCTATAGGTAATAAGAATGAGGGTCTGGGTATTGCTTTGTAGAGCTCTTGCCTAGCATGAGCGGGGTCCTGGGTTCATTCTTTTTTTTTTTTTTTCTTTTTGGTTTTTTGAGACAGGGTCTCACTGTGTAGTTGAGACTGACCTGGAACTCATAGGGTGGTCTCCAACTTACAGGGATCCTCCTGCCTCAGCCTCCTGAGTGCTGGGACTACAGGCATGCGCCACCACACCCGGCATAATTCTAAGCACTATACAAAATAAAAAACAAAACAAATACTCTTCTGGTCCTCAGCAGTAGTTACTATTCCTACTTTAGGGTTAGAGGCAGGGCAGCAGGCTGCTGACAAACAAATCCGGGGCCTTAAACATGTTAGGAAAGCTATATTTTATTTATTTATTTTCAGTCCTGGGACCAAACACAGGGGCTCATGGATGGTATACAAGCACTCTACTCCTCAGCTACTTCCCCAGCTTTATGTTTTTATTTTGAGACAGGGGCTTCCTAAATAACCTAGGCTGGCCTCCAATTCCCAATCCCTCCTGCCTCAGCCTCTGGAATAGCTAGGTATGTGCCACCATTGTTATTTTTTGTGAACTGTTTTTTTTGTGTTTTTTTTTTTTTTTTTTTTTTTTTTGGTACCAGGGATCAAACTCAGGTCCTTGTGCTTGCGAGGCAGGTGGTGCAACCACTGAGCTAAATCCCCGGCCCTATCATTGGTATTTTTTAAGATGGAGTTTAAATCTTGGTTCCCAGATTTATTTTTATTTATCTGTTTATTTTGAGACAAGGTCTTCCAACTTAGTCCAGGCTGCCCTCAAGCTCATAATCTTTCTGCCTCAGCCTCCCAAATGCTGGGATTACAGTCAGAAGCTACCATGTCCAGCTTCCCAGGTAGCACATTTTGATTTCACGGTTTCTTGCTCAGGTGTGATTCTTGCCTACCCTTCGTCTCTCTCTCCTGGTCAGCACCTGCCCATGCAGCAGCCTCCAAACCATTCTGGCAGCAACTTTGGTGTCATTCCAAAGTAAGTAGAACCCATTGTAATAATATTTAAGTTCAGCCACAATTTTTTGTCTATAAGATCGCTTTCCTTCTTTCATCTTTGGCCCAGTGTCTTCCGTGGGCTGAGAGCGTGTCTCCTTGGGTAGTTCTGGGGTTTTGTCTGGCTGAGGCTCCCCAGACCCCTGCTGGAACCAAGAAGCAGATGTGTGTAGCTTTTGCATGAGTCTAGTTTGCACACAAAGTGCTTTAGCGCCCGGCTGACTGGGGTAGGAGTGCCTCTGGCATCTGTAGTTCTTCACACACATCTTATTTAAATAAGAATCTGGCAAGTGAGGAGATGCAAGTAGCGGGGAAGAAGGGCAGATGGGCTGGACAAAATGGCTGGGGAATCTGGAATAAAGAGCGACATTCTCAGACAGAAGTGAACGCATACTATTACAAACTGGAAAATAAAATACAGATCTTATCTGGGGAAAGAGAAGCAATATTTTGTTTGTTTGTTTGTTTGTTTGTTGGTACTGGGGATGGAACTTGAGTCCTTGCACTTGCCAGGCAGGCAGTGGAACCAGTGAGCTAAATCCCCAGCCCTCACATCCTATGTTTAAAGCATGCCAAGATAAAAACACTTTGGCCCAAAGGAAGACTGTGAAGTGTATCTGACACAGTAAGTGCTCAGTGACTATTTCTCTGGACAAATAAATAATAATAGATTTTATTTATTTATTTAATTTTTTTTTTTGGTACCGGAGATCGAACTCAGGTCCTTGCGCTGCTTGCAAGGCAGGCGGCGGAACCGCTGAGCTAAATCCCCAGCCCAATAATAATGGATATTAATGGGACAAGAATATGCCGTAGGACTAGCTTGCTCACTAGCCATTTTGCTACTTTTTACTTCTAAGGGCCTCATGTGACAGTCATCAGTTATACAGGTTTCACTCTAAAACTATTAAATCTTGTATCCTACTTGTACCACACACCTAGAAAATTGCTTTGCCTGAATTCTAAAGCATATAGGAAATGTTAGGTACTTTTAAATGCATGCAAACGTTGCTTCCTAAGAACCAACATAGTTAAAACCAGCAAAGTTTTAAGCAGGTACTAAGCCAATCCTTTTACACATATCTTCTCCATCAGGAAGAATGAAGTTCTCATGTGTGAACGATGCTTACCTCATTCGGGCAATAGCTAAAACTGAACTACAGCTGTAGAAGGCCATATTTATTTTTGTCTCAATTAATCAATATAGAGACCTAGGCAAAAGAAGCAAACAATTTAGCATTTTAAAAATCAGTTAAATATCAAGATTTAACTACTGCACAGGTAGAAAATTTGCATATTCAAGGTACACAATCTCATTAAAATTCATTTTCAACGATCGTGAAAAATATTTTCTTACCTCAATTTGAGAATGGTACTTGGTGATAACAAGGCATCGATATGATCTGTAAGGTAATGATGTTCATGAAGATAATATGCTCTTCAAAGACATTTTTATTTCTGGTTCATAATATCTAGTAATCTAACTTGAACGGTAGCCCGCTATTTAGGAAGATGAAAAAGACACTATTTGTAGCCTAAAATACAATAGAAAGCAATAGAAAGGATTTGTTTCCAAGTAGTTGTTTTCTATACTTGGCCAAGCTACCACAAAACATAAAGCCTGAAAGTACTTGCTGATCTCATTTATGGGACACTGAAGATACACATGGTGCTTACTAATGTTTCAAGTACAGGTGAGTTTCCAGTGCTAACAATTCTACAAAGCCCGAGCCGAACTTGCTTATTTATTAGTTATTTTATTTATTGGTACCGGGTACCAAATTTGGGGACCTCGTACTTTCGAGGCAGGCGGCAGAATCACTGAGCTAAATCCCTGGCCCAGTTATTTGATTTTTTGAGACAGGCTCTCGCTGTGTACTTCAGGATGGCCTTGAACTCACTGTATTGCCCATGCTGGCCTTGAACATGCAGCGATCCTTCTGCTTCAACTCCTTAAAGGCTGGGATTACAGGTGTGTGCCAACACACCCAGCTCTGTACCTTTAAATATGCTCAATTGAGTAAATAGACAAATAAATAAATAAGAAAACGTAATCAAGCCTGGAGTAGTGGCACAAGCCTAAAATTCCAGCGCTCTGGGAGGTTGAGGCCGGAGGATGACAAATTCAAACTCAGCCTAGGCAAATCAGCGATTTAGTGAGACTATATTAAAAATAAGATAAATAAAAAGGCCTAGGGATGTAAACTCAGTACAAGGCCCCGGGTTCAATCCCTGGTGCTTTTCAGCTAGGAGCAGCAAGGAGCCTTGGTACTGTATCTCATGCCGTTGACCCTGCTTTCCTGCAGGCGGGCTTACAGGAGTACCAGGTGCCTTCTGGCTGGAAACCTCTACCACTGGGCTAAGGTTCTGCAGAGGGCTTGGCACGGCGCCTTGCTCAGGGAAGCCGGGACGCTCCCGGGTCACCACGCCGCTGCCGATCACGGCCTCGCTCCTCGGCCAGAGGGTTTCGCGCGCGTGGGGTGGGGCGGACCGCTGTGGCGTAGCTCGGGGCTTTTTGAGGGGAGGAGGGGGCGGGGAGGTCAGGAACTGGCTGATCGAGGTTTGGAAATGAAGACGAGCAGGAGTGCGCAGGACGCGGAAGGGAAACTGGGAAGCAAAGTGCGGAAGAAGGGTAATGGAGACTGCGTGGCCAAGTTTGAGGGGCCGGGTGTGGCTGAATCGAGGGTTGAGAGCGCGGTGGGAACTGGAAACAGTCAGGGGAGAGCGGCGCTGATGGGAGAAGCTGGAAGCGGAGGTACGGAGGCGACGCAGGCGCAGACCAGCCCGTAACAGGGGAGTATTTGGCCCGCCCGACCCCATCTCCCGGGCCGGCTGCCCGTCTCCCAATTCCTCTCGCACCCGCAAACTAGAAGAGCCGGAGGCCAAGTCTCTGTGGCCCCGCCTCTCGTCCCCCCTTTCGTGACGTCACTGAGTGACGACCCCTCCAGCCAATGAGCTCTCAAAATGTTCGGAGGGCGGGCGCCGTTCGCCGTTGCGTCCCGGAGGCTACGAGGTCTCCTTACCACTGTCGGAAGACTTGTTTGCTTAATTTAGTTTAGGCGTCGGTCCTGGCGAGGCCCGGGGCCGGGGATTTAGTTCGGTGGTCCCGCCGCCTGCCTCGCAAGTGCAAGGACCGGAGTTCGAGCCCCGATACTAAAAACAAACAAAAAACCCCGGCGTCTTACTGCCCAACCACACGCTAAAATCTGTGGCTAACTCCCTGGGAAACTCTTGAGTGGAAATTGGTTAAAGAGTCTCTCACCTTAGCGTAAAATGTCTGATAGTCGCCATGGAAACCACCTTGGAGTCACAAGCGACATCAATTTGATGCAGTCGCCCTCCGCCCACCCCCTCCAACTGCGAAGCGTTTGGGAGGGGCCCGCGGGTGGAGATTGAAGTGGGGTAGCAGAAAGGGCTGGAGGAGACAGGAAAACGTTCTTCCTACTTCCCCAGTGCCCCAGGCTGGGATGCCGTGAAGTCTTCGTTTGGAAAATTACACTAAGGAAATTTGCTTTATAAATGTGCTCTTAACAGGCGTTGCTTACGTTTGTGTGGAAATCCCAACATTTACTTTGTACTTTAGAGGAGCTGTGAAGTGACGTGGGCATAATGCAGCCGGGTGGTGACGAGCCTCACGCAGAGGCAACCTGGGCGCGGCCTCCTGGGCAGCGACCGCCACCCTGGGTTTATCCGCCTCCTGCAATGCCTGCGTCTTCATCTAGGGACACTTCAGCTCCTAGGATGGGCAACTGAGCCACTTTCAGAAAGTGAAAAATCTAGAAATTAAATCTTTGTACCCGTTATTTCTTCCCCTCCACTGTCTCTTTTCTTTTAAAGAAAGAAGAAAAATTTAGTGGTTATAACGCCAGACAGCAAGGAATCACTTTCTCAGCGAAGACTTCACATGTGAGCTGGCTACAGACTTTACTCATCTGGGAAGCACATTTGTAAGAATGAAAGATGGCGAGTATTCAATTTCAGTAAGAAATCCAGAAAAAAAGAAAAGAAAAGAAAAGAAAAAGAAATCCAGGCCGCTTTTAATCCATAAAGCATTCTCCAGGTAATAACCAACTGGATCAACTAGGTAAATTAGGCAAAACTTTTCAGCTCGGCCACTAGAGGTCCCTTTGTGCATGTCAAATGCCCAGCTTTCCACAGAAAGGTTTCACTTCCCAGTCTTACGTTTACTAGATGAAAATCTACAGGCTTTCTTCCTCTTTACCTTTCCCCTCGTCAAAATGTCCGATGATATATTTTTGAGCTTTAAAGATAAATCTAATTTTAATACTGATTTCACAAGTGAACCATCGCATGACCATATACATGTACTTTTCTGGGAAAGATCGTAAGAATGTCAACATACTCCTTTCACGTCACTGGGAGACATTTTATACCAGGAAATATTTTTTTTCTTTTTTGGGGTACTCGGGGATCAAACTCGGGTCCTTGCTCTTAGTGCGGCAGGCAACAGGACCACTGAGCTAATCCCAGGCCCACAAGGAAATACTTTTATTCATGTAGTGTATTCACTTACAACTGGGCACAGAGAAAATCATTAAGTATTCATAGACCAGATGAACGATTCCATGCCCAGCATTTGAAAGATGAGCTAGCTTTCCTCCCATGGCCATGTGTCAGCAATCCTAGTTTTAAAAGGGGAGAGTTAAGCAGCCTTCTGGATGTTTTTTTTTGTTGTTGTTGTAGTTGTTGTTGTTTTTGTACCAGGGATTGAACTCTGGACCTTGAGCTTGCAAGGCAGGTGGCAGAACCACTGAGCTAAATCCCTGGCCAAAGCAGCTTTCTTAGTAAAAGTCTAGAAGCAATGTCTGCCTTCTCCTGTAATTAGGCTAGGCTATTTCTTTGATTTTCAGGACAAATTATTTGATATGAGCAGTGTATAATCTGCAGAAGAGAATCCCACACCACCACTCCCTGACTTTTTCCCTACCTCTTAGAATTGTTAGGTGAACTGCTTGTTCATTTTCTATGGCGAAGAGTAGAGATGTTCCCAACTTCAGAAGATGTCAGATACTGAAATTATTACATCTATGCAAGATGCTAGATGTAAATTATCATTCTTAGTGCTCATTTCCTTACATATTACTCTAGATCAAATATCAACAGTATTTTCTACTGTTTTGCAGAAAGACTACCTTTACCTCACATAATTTCAATGTTAAACTTTTGTTGTCAGCAGAGCCATTGGAAGAAAGCAAAAGTAAAATTCTAGGAGACAATTTACTAGATTTTTCCCAAGATAAAAATCCAGGTGCTAAGCCAAGGTAATAGTTTATCAACATATCAAAGTTCCAGGAAGGTGGGAAAGGGTGGAGGTAGAAAGAACTATAGAAAAAAATAAGGTTAATTTATTTTTTATTATGTATTTATCGTTTTTATTTGTTTTTTGAGAACTACACTTCTGTGTAGTTCAGGCTGGCCTTAAACTAACTATCTAGCCCAAACTGGCATTAAAATCACGGCGATGCTCCTGCCTCAGCCTCTAGAGTGCTAGGACCACAAGTGTGCACCATTGCTACCACTAAAAATAAGGTTAATTTAATCTCTCTTTTCAGGAGATTGAGGTAAACTAGGCTCAGGTATCCCCCATCTACCTGCCTGGCCATCTGTTTTAAAATGATATTTATAATGAAAATGTGCTTTTAATGTATCTTTAATTTTTGATACAACATAAAGCTTTAGTTTAAAAAGAAGGGTGGGGCGGTAGGACATGCCTTGCAGTCCTACCTACCTTGGAGGCTGATGCTGAAGGATCGCTTGAGCCCCAGCAATTACAAAACCAGCCTGAGCAAGAGTGTGAACACATACTATAAACACATAAAACTAAATAAAAGGAAGTTAATAGTGATGGAAACCCCTCATTTTCAATATCACCCTTAGGTATTTTTTTTTTATTGGTACTGGAGATCCAACTCAGGACCTCCAACTTGCCAGGCAGAGCCTATGCCAGAGCTAAATTCCTGTCCCCATTTTGTATGAGACAGGATCTTGCACAATGTGGGTAGCTGAGGGGATAGGAAGGCGGCGGTCTGCCTGGAGTGGCACATTTTTTTTCTGTATGCCATTTTAATTTTTTATTTAAAGTGAAAATAGAGGGCCAGGGATTTAGCTCAGGGTTCCGCAGAGTGCCTTGCAAGTGCAAGGTCCCGAGTTTGATCCCGGTACCATACAAAACAAAAACCAAAACAAATATAGTGAAAACAGAGCCGGGGTGTTTAGCTCAGTGGTGCCACTGCCTGGTGCAAGGTACAGAGTTCCATCCCTGTACCAATCATTAATTAATGAAAGTGAAAATAAAAGGAAAAAATGGAAACAAAGCTTTTGTACACAGGGAGGGCAGGGGGCTCAGGGGATGAAATGGGATAAAATAAAATTTATTTTTCTATTTAACTAGGTTAACAAATTCAGATGTGTTGGAGAGTGGCAAATTGAAGAACTGCCCCAGGCAGAACGAACTTTAGCTACGGTTCTAGACTTGCTATGTCTTTCCGGCTCACCTTGAACCCACTACACAGCCCAGGCGGGGCCTGGGTTCACAGAGATCCTCCTACCTCAGCTTCCCGGGTTCTGGGAAGCTTTTTCGCCTTTTTCCCCCCACTGTGGGGGGGAACTCCCCCCTTAGTATTAACAGGGTTTTGTTAACGAACTAATACATAATAGTGCCCATTAAAGTAACTGACCTACGTAAATTCAATCCCAATCTGGGAATTTTGTGATTTAGCAAGTTATTTTTGTTTTAAAAGGCTGGGGCTGTAGCTCTGCGCGAAAACCTCGGGTTCAACCCTAGTATGGCGAAAAACAACTGATCTAAGAATCTACAATCTCCTAAACGGTATTTTGAGATAAAGCTACCAGGAAGTTCTTGTCAAGGTACCCAGCAGACCCGGCCCTGAGTCCACGCTGAGTGTCCGTCTGGTAGTGATACGGCTCTGAATTCTCAGAACCGAGAGCAGAGCACGCGTCGGTTTCCTCATCTGCCGCCTGCCTACTTCCTCTGTACGTTCACGTCTGCGCCGCAACGCTGTCATCGCCCCCGGGCCTCAGGAAGCCCCACTGCAACCGCACGACCTCTCCGCAGCGCCCCACGCCCGGGGCCTCCGTTGTTCTCTATTTCCCAGAATCTCACTCTCTTGCCCCACTCAACTTTCCTTGCTTTCTTCCTTCTTTCCTTTCCTCCCACCCTTTCTCCACCCCTATTTTATTCCGCTTTCCCTTCTTTCAACCGAGTTGCCATCGGGGCCCAGACGGAGGCCTGGACCCGGGCGCCTCCTGTGACAGCTGTCGGACAGAGACAGCGCGGGAGGCTCAAGGGGAGTCCCGCTCTTCCCCAGCCCTCCCGAGCAGTCCCCGAGGGTCGATTCCTCTCGCCACAACGGAGCCCCATATGGCGTCTAACGCGCTGTTTTTCCTCAGACTGAAGGACACGCACGAGCCTAGGGCCCAGACGGAGGCCTGGACCCGGGCGCCTCCTGTGACAGCTGTCGGACAGAGACAGCGCGGGAGGCTCAAGGGGAGTCCCGCTCTTCCCCAGCCCTCCCGAGCAGTCCCCGAGGGTCGATTCCTCTCGCCACAACGGAGCCCCATATGGCGTCTAACGCGCTGTTTTTCCTCAGACTGAAGGACACGCACGAGCCTAGCGTCGCCTCACAGGCCCCGCCCTCCGTCTCGTTTTGTTTTCGTTTCGTCCCTTCCTGTCCCTTTGCTGCCTGTTCGCCGGCGGGCCCGGTCTGGTCTCGACGCGCTCGCACCGCTGCCTTCCCGCCCTCCTCTCGCCCCCGGAGCCCCGAGCCCG